AGGGAAAATGGACCTGGGGGTCTTGGTGGACAGAAGGATGACCAAAGGCAATGGCATCCTGGGGTGTATCAGAAGGGGTGTGGTTAGTAGGTCAAGAGAGGTTCTCCTCCCCCTCTACTCTGCCCTTGACTTTATTGCTAAACAAAGGCAACATGGCTTAATCTCTAAATTTATTATCCAGAACAGCTCCATAATCCAGGAAGGAGAAAAAAAAAAAATCAGTCACATCACAGTCAGACTAAACAACCTTTTCTACTAGCAACTTACTACTAACAACCTTTTCATTTGTATTTCCATTTCTTACAGAAAATCTGTAGAAATAAAGTATCTAGTACACAAGGCAATAAGAGAAAACTATGGTTTGTAAAACTGGTAAAAAGAAAAAAGTTGCATTTGGCAGTGATACGGTAATGGGAGAGAACTGAAGGTTCTTTTCTGCTTTCCTATTTCTTTTCAACAAGAGGAAAGCCAAGGAGAATCTCCATCCTTTACTGGATGCTGAGGGAATAACAGTGACGAGGGATGAGGATGAGGCCGAGGCACTTAATGCTTCTTTGCCTCAGCCTTTACCAGTAAGGACAGCTGCTCTGTGGGTACCAGCCCCCTGAGCCACAAGACGGGGACGGGGAGCAGAACGAAGCTCCCATGGTCCAGGAGAAAATGGTTAGAGACCTGCTCAGCCAATTAGACATTCACAAGTCTATGAGGGGATGGGGGGGTCCACCCGAGGATACTGAGGGAGCTGGTGGAGGTGCTTGCTGAACCCCTTTCCATCATCTACCAGCAGTCCTGGCTGACTGGGGAGGTTCCACCTGACTGGAGGATGGCAAATGTGACACCCAGTTACAAGAAGGGCCGGAGGGAAGATCCAGGGAACTGCAGGTCTGTCAGTCTGACCTCAGTCCCGGAGAAATCCATGGCCATGTTACTCAGGGGGCACTAATTTGGCTGAGGTAGTCAGGATAAAATAATTCAACAGATTTCTTGTTCCAGTCATTCAAAAACCTTATATTAGGCTCTAATAAATCAACTATTAACTTTTTGAACACACAGTATCAAGCTTTTCAGATATCCCTGAAGACTAATATTGTTTTAAATAATGCTACAGTTTTCATAAAGTTATTTGCCCCAAGACCTGAGGCTTTAAGGTAATATCAAATATTCTCTGCTGGGTTAAAAACTGGTTGGATGGCCAGGCCCAAAGAGTGGTGGGAAATGGAGTTAAATCCAGCTGGAGGCCGGTCACAAGTGGTGTTCCCCAGGGCTCAGTGTTGGGGCCAGTCCTGTTTAACACCTTTATCAATGATCCGGATGAGGGGACTGAGGGCACTCTCAGTAAATTTGCAGAAGACACTAAGCTGGGTGGGACTGTTGATTTGCTTGAGGG